ATCAGAATCTTCACTAACTCTAGTGTCTCATATCCTCCTGTGGCAATAAGTTCCAGGGGCCAATGTCTGCAACAGGGGACATGTCCTGGGTCACATCAAAGGTTGGCCTAGCCCCCCAGATGCCCAGGGATGAGCAAGAACAGAACAAATATATATGAATAATAACCCCTAGACTCCAACTATATTCAGTTTGGGTATTTGTTCAGTCAAGTGTGGTTTTTATGTATTTAGTAACCCCCAGAGGATTTCTGTTTCATGCCTTAGATCAGTCTTCCTTCAGAAGAATGTAAATCTTTGCGTTCATTGCACTGCCTCTCACCAGCTACTATTCCCTCCCTTTTGCTTTTTCAGAACCTGGCTTCTACTCGATTCGTTTGATGTCCCTTATTTCTCATACTGGAAGACATAGTGAATATGTATTTTGGAAGAAAAAGTATGTCCTTTGGGCACTTTTAAATATAGTACCTGCTAACTTTATTGAAAGTTTCCTTGTTGCTGCATGGGAGAGGTCGGGCAGTAATCACTGCTTTTCTTTCTCTTGAGCATTCAATAATTTCTATATTTTTATTATGTTCTGCCTCTTTACCACTTATCCGAAGCCAGCATATTCTTTCTCATTTGCTTTCTATCTGTATTTTTCCATACCTTGACTATTCATGCTCCCATCTCAAGAGCATTTCTAATTCTGGATAAAAGATTTTATTAAGATAAGAGGTGAAATGAGGCACAGAAACTTGCAAAGCTGAAAAGTGAGAAATTATTGCAACCAAATATGCAATGTTTTACTGAGTCAAAATGTAGCACATTGGGTTTTCAAAATCCAAAAACTATGATGGGTTCTATGTTTCAAAACAGAAACACTTATCATATAGTTTTATAGATATATTATTATTATACTTTTTAATTTCTTCTAAAAGATTTTGCTGAACAAAGAAATCATCTGTTGAATTTTAGCCACTTTATTTTTGTTTCAGAAAGGAGCTGATTTATATTCTGGACTTCTTGTCAACTTGAAGCTCAGGTGCTGGAGCAGATTTTCTTCCACTGCTTTTACAGTGACAATTTCACTGCTCTGTGGGACTTAAAAATAGTGGAATGATCTGCCAGAAGAGGGGCAGCATGCCAGCATATATACATGGCAGAGTTACAGTTGATAGCCAGTGTGGTCTTATATTCCCTATCTGCTGAGTTAATCTCAAAAGCCGTCTGCTCTACTGAGACAGAATTTTCCCTTAGAAAGGAAGAACAACCAAGAGGCACCCACTAATTATTAAAACTCTTGTTCAAAACACAAGTTTTTACCTCTCTGTGATATTAAGTACTCCGAGTCCCTGCGTGACTCTGGATGCTGGAAAATTGCTGCTTACACAAGCTTTTCCAGCTGCTATGAATCTTGTAAGAAATTCTGTGACTGCAATCACATCTAAACACCAGCCCCCAGCATATTAAACTTTGCCCACACAACTTTAAATATTGAACACTGACTGGTTTTTGGTTAAATTATAAGTTCATTAAGAGTAAGTAGTCTAGCTAAAATAAATCCTATCTTCCACTAACAATGACTGCAGTAGTCATAGATTTTTCCAGCCTGTGCTGTAGAAAGCACTAATAAAGACCTATTTTTCTAGTAAATACTGTTAAAAGAAATTAGAATAAAAAACTATATTTCATACTAATAAAAGCTGCCTGATGATTTCTAGAATTAAACAGAGCATTGACGATATGGTTTAATAACTTCAGTATAAATGTACTCCATATCCACTACTAGGAGCATTAAAGTGAATAGCAGGATATTTTTGGCAAAAGTTCTATGGGGTTGTTTCAGCTTGCAAGGTCTGAAATGTTAAAGCTATACTTTTTTTGTTGCTGGGAAAAAAAAAAAAGATGGGTAAAATTTATCTCCTCTTTGCCCAAATGTTGTTAATGATTCTAATTCAGAGAAATCAGTCTGTCTCTTCATAAGTTTTACCTGCTTTTAAGTAGCTCTATTTTTAAACAGACTATAAATGTATTTGAGAAAACAGGGTACCTCAGTACCAGAGACATGCTCTTACTACCTTCTAGCTCTGCAAACTATCTTCTATCAAATGAAAAAAGTCAATCTTGTTCAGCAATTTTGGTCCAATTTCAGAAGACTTGACCACAGTGGCATTATTCATTATGCAAGGTGACGATCAGTGGCCTTATTCTCCATTTTACCAAAATTTCCACAGTCGTGGGGAAATTGTCATACCGTGCAGAATCGTCATTCATCCATGACCAACCACCAGGCTGCCACCATGTATGAGGAGTGATGCAAAGACTGATGAAATCCCTTAACAGTCCCAGTTTGCCCATTTCCACTAATTTCCTGCTCTCCCTGACACACTAGACAATTTTCTCTGAACTGTGATCTGACAGAGCTAGGTACTGCTGATATGAAGACAGATATTAAAAATTTACAACATTATGGCAAAAGAGGATAGTCAGAGAGAAAAAGGTCTTGTCCATAGTCACTAGTGGCATTTTATTAGACTGTGAGCTTCAGGAACAGATGATTTAAAATGTATTTACCTCGGATTGCTCCAAAGACACCATAATTATGTGTAAACTTTTTTTTAATCCCTTAATACATCCAGTGTGATGAAAAGAAATTTGTTACAAGAGGAGCTTCATAGTTTTATGAAGAATGTCGATTTTTACATACTGTTACTTGAATTGTATATGAGCTGCACTTTAGTTTGCTCTAAGTAGTACATTAAGTGTTCATGGTTTCTTTTTCTGATCAAAATCTCATTTCATTTATTAATGATACAAACATAAGAGACCTTGATCTCAAAAATAAGAAAAAAGTTTAAATGACTGCTATATAGAAGTCAAATATATTTATGAAATTAAATAATAATAGCCAATCAAGAGCAATATTTTGTACCTCACAAATACGTTTATTACCTGTCAATAGGAAAAATTCTTTAGCCGAATAATGGCGGTGTTGCCTTATTCAGTCTCCTTTAGATACACATCTGCTCCAGATCTTAGTTCTGTGATAAAGAGTTTCCTTAGCAGTATTTTTTTGTAAAGCAAACAAAAGTAAAACAACGAATGTAAACATGCATATGTTTAACTACTTTCCAGATTCCAGCATAAGCTAAGATAACAGCTTTTGGTAACACAGTTCTTGTAGTACAAATTTGTTACCACACCTTTCAACTGAGAGAAAACTGAATTCCTCCTGAGCTGTCTTCATCTGCTGGTCTGTTGTCACACTTAGAGCTCATGTTGCTTTAAGCCAAGCAGTCTTGTACATGGCTTTTATTTCTCATCAAATCAAAATGTAGTAAGTTTTATCAAGTAATTTAGCCCAATCTCAAGAGCCTGATTTCTCTGGATTCCATAGGGTGATTGCAAGAGGTTGTCATGTTACTTTCTCAGTCAGGTTTTGGTGTTGAAAATTAGGGATCGACTTTCCTCATTCCATCATCACCCATCCCATCAGCTTTGTGAGGCTGACATCTTTTTGCTTTACCTTAAATCAAGTATTTGTCTACTTTACACTCCAGCTCAGAAGATAAGCTTTAAGTAACAAGCAGCTAGTTTTATAACATACATAACAGCGTGTTTGCTAAGGAAGTAAAACCTGCCCAGGTTTTCATACAGCAACGCTGACTTCAGGTGCTTACTGAACTGTTATAGCAAACACAATAGTTTTCACTATACACCTCTATCAGGCAGGGCTGCATCTGCTCTAGAAAAAGCACAAAAAAATAGTATTGGATTCTGGGCCTGGGCAGCTGAAACTGGAAGGCATGAGTTTCATCCTTTTGCAACACCACAGAATTTTATCCATGAAGCTTCAAACTTTGGATCTGCCCACACACCAGTCACTTTGCTTGGGCCACTCTCAGGAGAAAGGCAACAGGAGAGCTGGCTCCTCCTTGAAGAGATCTTGTGAGTCCATAGAGTGGCTGGAAAACTATCTTAAAAGCACAGAGTAGTAAAGGTAAAGGCCTCAAATGAAAACTAAATGCAAAGAGACATTTGAAAGAACTAACCAAGGAATAATAATTTTAATGAAGCAGGAAACAGAGAGGCAAGAACAATTCTTTTGTTAGACATTTACCACCCACACTCAAAGTACTTAAATTCTCAAGAAAAAAGGCAACATGCAGAGTAGAGGAACACAGTTTCAAACCACATCTATTTTAGAAATGTGCTAGCACGAACTTCATTTCTTTCCCACCACCCGTAGTTCTCCAAACCTTCCAGGGCAAATTTCTGGGATCTTCTGACAACAAAAAAGATGAGGTAGCCACTCCCAGCAAGGGTACATAGGGCTAAGAAGTTAGCAAGAACCCTCAGGAATCGAGTCAAGTGAATATTTTCCTCTTTTCGGCTCTCCTGCTCCTCCACAATAGCTTCCTGCACTTGTTAGAAAGAAAATAATGAGTACTTTAATGGTCAAGACCTCACATTGCTTCCCCAGTTAAACTACGAAGATGTGAATGTACAGCTGGCCATCATGTTTTAAGATGAGCTTATATTGTCTCATAAAATCTGGCAGACCCTGAGATTTTGGATCCCTAGAGTTTGCTTTGCTTCCATTGAGTGGGTCCCCACTGAGTCTCGTTACACCTGCACTCGTGTGCCAAAAAGAAACCAGCATGTTCAGTCAGCTTGCGAGATGCTATGAGGCCGAGTGACCCAGCAGGATAAATGTGCGATTAGTTGCCAGAAAAGGAACTGTCACACTTTAAAAATGTGCGTTTGAGAGAAAAAGAGCAAGAAAGTTTTATTCTGAAAGTCAGCTATTCAGAAGGAATGAAAAGACAGTTTAGACATAGGAACCCCAGACAAACAGTGCACAGCTTCAGACTGCAGAATAAAACTTTTGCCCCACATTTACCCTTGGCCAGGACTGATAAATATTAAGACTCTGGTATAACTATAATCTCCAACTTCTACTTTTGCCAGCAGAAAGAGCTTTTGCTCTGAAGCGTCCTTGTGAAAAGGGAGTTTGACTACAGCTTCTCACTTTGGTATAGAGACCAGTTGCCCAGAGGGGAAGCCGAACTCCTACATTTTAACTACTCTGCATGGCTCTGCTGTTCTTACGACTTGTGTTTGTTACCTAAATGAAAGGAGATTGCAGCAACTGTTGAGAAAAACTCCCATGACCTCACCCAAGCCAGGACTTCACCCTTTCCCTCTGAAGTTCCTTGCTCATTTGCAAAGATCACAGTGAAGCTTCAGGAACTTTATTTCTCAAACATAAGTCTCTGTCTCAACTGATTTGTATTCTTCTCCAAATAGCTTTGAGCAACTGACCTTAGTAGGCAGGCAGGGAAAGCTCACACAGTTTTAGTGCTTTCAGTAAGTATTTCTTCAATATCTGTTTTCCTGGCACATTTTGTTTCTACTGCCTTTGAGTACAGTTATCTTTTATGTCTGCCATTGGGAGGGTGGGCAGGGCGAGATGGTGTATTGGGTATATCACGACTGCAGAAAGGAAGGGTGTTTTGTGCGACTGGATAGTGCAACTAGTGCTTGGTCCTCCAGCTCCCATGCTATATGTTAGTGTGACTGCAAGTCTAGCATCTTGTTCATCACCTGGCAACACCTTGCCAGTGTATTCCCCATACATTATTACACTGACAAATAAACTTTCCTGCACGTGCTGCACTGCTGTGTTCCAGTGACCCCAGTGCAGAAACACATTCTTTAACATTCAACAGATGGAATATATCCCCTTCACTGTTTTCATGGCAGTGCATCTTGCATCCTGCCCCAGATTCTTCACATAATGGCTCTTGAATTCAACAGACTCTATAAACTGAAAAGAGGCCTAAGAACACTTTGTGTTGTCTTGACATTTGGGCTATATTTCATAATTAGTTTGAAAATAAAAATTTTATATTATGCAAGGAAAATAACATCTTTTTCTTAGTGAAAAGCAAGTATACACTCAAAATTATGAGGCCAATTCTTCTGACATGATCAATAGCCCTTTATAGATGATCCAATCAGTTTACCTTTTGGTATCTTTTCGGTGTAGCAAGGGAAGAGGATTATGTGAGGTTGGAAAAATGACATCAGTGCTTTTTAAAAAAAAAAGTTTTTCAGGCAAGCACCATAGAAACTGGAAGCCATCAGAGATGACAAAAAAGAAAAGATTATTTTTACATTTTTTCATTTTTCTAAAACTACTACTGTAGTCACAGAGGACACAAAAGATACCATTAATATTTTTTCTTCCACAATCAAAAAGAAAAATTAAGATGGCAAGGCACAAAGACCCAGAGTCAGAAGCATATAGAGTTGCTCAGTTCTAGTTTAAACTTCTAGGCCCCAGGCACAGTTAATACTTGACCGTGGGTCCATCTGATTCACACCATTGTGAAAGACAAATCAAGTTATCTGTCCTTAGTGAGCTCTACTTTACCTTAAAGCTTGTTGTGATGGAAGCAAACTTATTATCTGCTGTTTCAGGATTGCCAATAAGGTAGTCCCAGCTTGTGAACATTTTCCAGCTGAAATTAAAGCTAGTATCATCCCCACCACCTTCTTCATTTGCATTCCTTGCCATTCTACAAAAGCCAGAAAGATGCAGGAAGACTTTGTTATAACTAGTTCTGCTATGTGAGCATCATTTTTAAATTGTTCCTAAATTCTACACATTGTTCTGAAAAAAACTATATTATTGTTGCAGTCAATCAAAGTTCAGTCTGAAACAAGAGAGAAGGATGGAGATTTTCATACTTTATGACAATTTATGAGCTTACAACACACAGTTTGATGAGAAAGAATGAATTTATTTCATTAACACCTCAGAGAAACTCTGCTGGGTAAGAAACTCTATAGGAAAACAATTTCAAGAAGATCTGTCAAATAGAAAGCTGCAGAGCATCCTGAACTGCAAAAGATTTGACTAGAGACTTCACAAAGAGGAAAAAAGAATTCTAAAATAAAAAGCCAGGAGAAAACCTGGTTATACCATACAAAAGTATCATTAATATAGCTTTCTATATTTCCTTTCATATCCTATGCACTTAGAAACAAGATTTATAACAGCATCCACAAGCATTAAATTATTTCTTCAGTGATTTGACTTCCTCTTGACTTCTCTATTTCAAAGTGTTGTCATTCATGTAATAATAGTGGTCTTGCTTCTGCATACTTTATCACTTAATTCAAACCATTAAGCGCAAGAATGGAGTATATTAGTAGGGTACAAACCATTCAGCTTTCAGTATCGTTTTGAATTCTTGATCTGGAAAAGGCAACACCTATTTCAAAGCTCACCAATGCAGCAGAGTTATGTCATTAATATCAATACATTCTACATACCACATTTTTTAACAGTCCCGTAAAATGCATACTCTCAAATCTAGGAAGAGAATCGTAAGTAAATAATACAGAAAACCCTTCTGAGCTGTCATAAACCGGTACCAGGGTTAGAGGTTTTTTGGTTTAGTGCTCATATACAGAAGAGACAGAGATCACGAAAGGTTCTTGGTAGGATCTGACCTGCTGCTGGTTTCTGCGCTGAGATAATTCCTTCTCAACAGTTCCTAATGAAATAATGAACAGTCTTGTGTTTGGGATATCATTTCTTAGAGACCAGAAATGTTTCCATTTTATGTTATGCACTGGAAAAGCTGTGGAGAAGAGCCCTAAATCTAAATATTTCCCCTAAATAGAATAATAGTGCTTATAATCCTCACTACCTCTTTCATGTAGACATTCCCTTTCCCAGATCTCAGTCAACAGCAGAAAAATGGTATCACCTCCTGTTACACTGCTTTTACTTCCTATGCCCACTGTGTCATTTTCCGGAGAACAGCAAAACAGAAGACTGCAAGAACTGCTCATAAGATTAGCTAAATATTGATCAGCACTAGTGTCACATGGCTAGATGGGAAGTTAGCATGTACAATGTATTTCTTGCGCAAGGATATTCCTTTTTTTTGGGCCATAGGGATTTTCTGCTAAAAGGAATTGGGTTTTTTGGTCTGAATGACAGTCATTCAAATACAATTGTCTGAGGCTAAGACTTTTCAAATATTCACAGTTACATTATTAGAAAGTATTTTAAAATATATTTTCAAATTAAATCAATTACTTTTTCATTATAGTAGTAGTTTGTTCCTTCTCCAAAAATACATATATGTAACTGAAAAGATTTTTGTTTTTCCTTCTGAAGCACTTCTTGCCCTCTGCAGGAAACTATGTAATATTTGTAAAATAGACCATGAATTACTCTAGTGCTCATGCAAGTGAAAAATACCAGCTTCAGCACAAAACAGTGGAAATAGATTAACTGCTGTTTTCTCTGTATTGACAAGTGTCCTCGAATCTTGACCTGCAATGCTCCGATTTTTTTTCACCCTAGGCATCTTTTAAAGCCACCACTATAGCTAATCATATTATTGTGGTAGGTGATCACCTTGCTTGAATCAAGACTGTTAAAGATTATATTCATTAGCGGCCTATTTCCTTAGAAACGATCAGAATTATCACAGTTTATTCCAACAGTGAATTTGGCTATAAAAGAATAATTTTATTTCATTTAAATTCTGATCCTAAGACAGAATTTGAGAGCCAAAAAGCTAATATATCAGCAGTTGTGCTGCCTAGGTCCTGTTTCACTTATGCTTCCTACTGTTTTAACATTATGTTCTTAACATTATATTAAACTTAGTTTTCACACTGCTGGAGATTATTTTTTGCATTCCATGGGGCATTAAACCCTTACTATGGCCAGTAGCCAATAGACAGAAGACAATTCTTCTGCACTCCTGTGCAAATGTGACCTAACCACTACAGTTTTGCTGAGAATCATTTACTGCTGACTCCGAGTTACACGTTTGCCATATGTTTCTTTCTTTCTTGTCTTCTTCCTTCTTGAAAGAATTTAATTCACATAAGGTATCATTATAAAGGTAGAACAATTGAATTTCCTGGATGTTAGCTGACATTCTGCTAGATGCAGAGTATTATGAAAAGATGGGCTGACAGCTCAGTTCCTGACTTCATGCATTCATTTTTTCACTTTGAAGTTGCAGGAGGGAAGTGCTATGTTATTTCAGTAAAGATTTTTTCCACTTCCACAGCACTGCAACACAGCTTCTGGTGCAGAACAATAGATAAATAAACACAGGCTGAAGGAATCCTACATCACTTTTACCTTGCACTTGATCTTGAATTGTCCTGCCCTTACAATTATCATACTTTAAAAAAAGATATTCTCAGTGGTCAACAGTGGAATTGTCTGCCTTTTTGAATGTACTTTATTCCAGAGCCAAGGAGAACTTACGTTCGAATGACAATCATAAAACTGTAGCCAATAGTCCCAACTCCAACAAGGAAATATGAAAGAGGCATCCTGAACTTGAGCCATCCAATTGTCCTCTGGTTATTGTAATAACCATAAAAGAGTACAGAATACTGTGCAAAGCCCTGAAAAGTCAGCAAAAATTATAAAGTCACGTCTGTTAAATATGCATGTAATCAGAAATTGTACCAATAGCAAAGTACTGAAACATTAATTTCATTCTAAACAGTTGTAAGCATCACTATAATAAAACTCACAGGATGGAAAATCTCTCCTTTCATTTAAAAACACAGAATATTTCATGTCAACTTTCAAACCTTTTATCTTTAAAGCTCATCATGGGCACTCCATCTACGATTTAATGATTCAAAACTTTTTCATCCACAAGCTTCTTGTTGTAAAGACAAAAACATTTCAGTTTGTAAAATTTGTTTTACAAATTACTTGCAGATAAAATGACATATTTTTAACTTAATTTTCTCATCTCTCAAATTTACTTGCATAGCCTGTTTCATATAAAATTCTCATACCCCTCCTCTGTCTAGCAATGTTTCTGCTCTTCATTGGGTGATCATGGAATCTACATTAACTGATAGTTAGCTGCATTTTATGTATTTTATTACTCAGTATGCAGGGGTTTTAACACTTAAGACTCCAAGGCTGTAAAAAGTGCAATGTAAGTGTACCTTCTTTCTCAGCCATTCAAAGAGTATCGCCTTTGCCAAAAATCTTATCGAGAATTACCATCTCTTCTATAGGTCAGATATTGCTGATTTTTCAAGATCATTTACTAATACATGATTAACTCTAAGCAATTGCTGGTACCTAAAATGATCCAAATAGCTAAAGCTTCCTGATAATCCTCAGGTTAGAGCAAAAACTCGTCTCCTAGAAGACGACTGTATCCAGAGCCTCTACAAGGACAGCTCAGCATATGCACAGCAGTGACAAAGCTCCAGCTGGATGTAATGATTTCAAGTCAAATACAGAGTATTTGACCATGTAATTGGTGGATAGACCATGCATTATTTTGACACTAATACTGTAAGCTGAGGGTTTTGTGAATTAAAAAAGCTATTTACTTCCCTTCTGCTTTTCAGACACTCATTTACTTAAATTAAATAACATCTTTCTCTTCTATGTTATTGCAAAACATGCATTTTATTTATTGTGGCTCTTATTATATATTAAATGAGTCACAATGTTATCTGGAAAACCTAATTTGCAGTTCTAAGCTGAAAATGAAATAGTAATGCATGATAAACAGAAATATTATTAGAAATGTCTTGATTTAGTAGTCAACATATCTCAATTTTTTTTCATATCAGACTATCTTTGAGAGATATGCCCACACATAGCAGATAAGAGTATGTTCTTCTACAATAAGGGAAATATTGTTATAGAACACATTTATTACCAATTACTAGTAAGACATCAACACCAGTCAGGCCACATTCAAATTCAATAGTATGTCTTTTGCAATTTTTTTTGCTCATTAAAGCTTCCTATAATTCCATCTTAGACCAGGTTTCAATACAGCCTAACAAAGCTCTGGAGAGCCTCTTGGATCCCTCAGAGTATTAAAGTGCTTTTTAAGTCACTGTGCTCTGCAGTCACGGATAATTCCTGCACTGCATGTCATTCAGTATGTTGTTTCCTGGGTTTTGCCTACTGCATTTCACCATGAGACTTGAAATACATTTAGCTGTGTAAAGGTAGGTATGCATGGAAGATCTCTTGCATTCCTTTCTGAGCCTAACATAAAAGAGGAGTGAGATAAGAATATAGGTCAAATACTTTATTGAAATGAGCCTTGAGAGTCCCATTTTCTAAGGTTTGGTTTATTATCTGAACTGTAAAATATACAAAGTTAAAACTGAATTCCAAGTAAAATACATCAAAATCCAAAACTATTTCTCTTTGACATGTGAGTAAAATGAGTACAATTTCAAGTGCAAAAAAGCAAAAGATACGTTGAGCTTATCTTTTCTTTACTGTCTTAAGTATTGGTGGGATTTGGTGCTTTTTTTTAGGATGAAATAATGTTCGCTGATGTGGGTTCACTTATTTGTAACTTACTTGGTAGCATACAAGAACTGTGCTGTTTAATTAAAGATGTCATTATTTCAAGGAGTATTTGTCAATCTGACATGCCTCAAGAAAATTCTTTTTGCCCCTCAGTATTTCAGGGGATCCATCTCTTTCACTGCCCTGCTCTGTATTTATTACCTTTGCATTTTCTCCTTGTGTTAACTGCTACTCTTTATTTACTCTACTTTCTTCTTCAGAGCTGTCAGATTCTGTTTCTGTCAGTTATTATAAACTTCTCTCTTTCCATCATCTGTCTTCATTCATCTTTTCTCAAATATGTTTTTTATAAAAACTTTGTTCCCATTTGCTCTATAAAGCTCTTCTAGTCTCTCTTCTCTTTACAAAATCTTCAAGTTACTGTGATTCCTTTTTTTCCCAGTATCTCCCTGATGGTTTAAGTTCTAATTTTATAATGTTGTCATCATTATTTAACTCTCCAGCTACATGTCTAGGTATATTCTTCCCCTCACTCAAATATACAACTCCTGATGAACCAGACGCAATGACATTTTATGCAGTAGTCATACTGCATAAATGTTACATACATGGCTTTTTAGAAAGATCTTTCTAACCTTCTGTATCCAAGGAGGATCCATCACTTTATGTGGCAAAACAAAAGTAATCTGTTCACTTTACATACCTTTATATTCAAGAGACAGATAAACATTGTAATTTCTACCTATTATTATATTATTTTCTTTGAATTCAGTTGCCTACAGTTAATAAGCCTGAAATATTTGTTTGTAAATGAGAAAATAGGTATATCCAGTCCAGTTCTTTTTTATGTTCTGTCATCTTACAACCTGATTCTTCCTCCACTGATAGCTGAATATTGAAAATAGAGACAAAGAAGCTAAATAAAGGACCAAAATTTGGCATCTGAGTCTTCACATGAAGGTAATGAGCCACAAACCAAGGGATCCTGTTTGAGATCTGCATGTCACAAGATTAGGGATCTCTCCACACCTTAAGCATACTAAAAAAGAGCAATATTAAAAAAAAAAAAAGGCATAGACACCATACCGTTGTTATGTTTTTTCAGGAGAGATCAGAGATGGCCTCCTGTGGGAAAGGGGACAGGTATGAAAATCTGCCTGTGCTCCTCCTGGGATTGCCTGTGTAGAGCTCCACAGCCTGCATAGTTCTCCCCACCCGCATGGGTGGCATAGGACTTCATATGGGCCAAATCTACATGGTAATGCCACATTTAGATGAGTTGTTCTGCAGATAGCTGGAGAGGCTGATATGTAAACTGGAGGAACTTGCACCTGAGTTTATTTTTCCAAGCAATGGGTCTGCTTCCAAAATCATATTCATGCTTGCTGTTGCTAAAACACCTCAAGTGCTAAAAGATATGTATTTGCATAACTCTTTAAAAGTCTTGGTACTTCTTACAGAAGGAAAAGAGTGCAGCAGATTGAGGGACAAATCACACTTAGTTGAATGGATACTTCTTCCATTAATCTGAAGGTAAATCTGAACTAGATGGTTGCACCCTTTCACAGGTGAAGAATACCTTTTGATGACATTGACTGCATGCCATAGAAAAACCTAACAGCCTTCTAAGCAACATATGGTAATACCAAATTTATCAGCTGGCTTTATGCAAAGTAGTATCATCTTTATATAAAGAGGCCAACTACAGAGACATACCATGTGCAAAGTAGATAAAACTGTTGTTTTCAGGAAGAAAAAGCGGTATGATATATTTAGGAATATACCATTATCTTGCCAGTAAAGGAGATATAGAACCTCAGACTAGACTGGGCAGCACATCAACAGTAAAGAATTAAGACATGCTTCTCAATTAAGCTAAGATATCTGCATATTCTGTAAGGCTGAGAAAAACTAAATATAGCATTCTTTGTTTTATAAAAAGCCTACAGAGCACATTATCGGACTTTTTTTCTTTTTTCTAATTCACACTGTATCCTCAAATTCAGAACCCTAATCATATAAAAACAGAGGACCAAATTCACCCACAAGAAATGGAAAGTCAGTATCCAGGGATGTGAATTCAGCTTTGAGACTTTTTCCCACGTGTCTTTGGATTGCTACATATACTGAAATGTGTGTGTGGACATTGAGCTTCATTATATGTTTTGTATGAAGGAAACATCTATACTCAGAACTTGGGGGTGGGAGGAGGAAGTAAATTAATTCTATTGCCATTTTTTCCTTAAATATTTCATATTAAATCTTTGAGTATTAAATAATGAATAATAATAATAATCAAAGAGTCAAGTGAATATGCAGTATTGCAAGTCTATGCACTTACACTAAAATCCCAGAGAGTAGCAAAGTTCATAGCACTTGCTTCTTCAGCTCTTGGGACCGTTTTTCTAGGTAAAGAGCCATAGGGCTTCCCCATCAAAGCCTGGAACCAAAAAATGAGAGAAATTTACACTTTAAAGTGAAATACCAACAAAGGGAAGGGACAGTAATCTGTCATTTCTTAGGAAGATTTGGTTTATGCTCCTAAACTCCTTAATGAGGATGACCTAATTCTCCAATTCTTTTCATTGCTCCTTACATTAATAATTGAAACTATGCCTAAAGTACGCATTAATAGTGTTTTCTAAATTTAAAGCGATGTTCCACTAGTATCCGTGCATTGTCAAGCTGTGCCTCTTACATGCAAAGGCAACAGAGAAGTCGAAATTCCAGTTCCTCTGATTAGTGGTGTTTGACTTACAGACAAGACCAGAGGATTAATTTTTCTTGCATTATGAACTTTATTGGGTTTTGAATTGAAATGTATGGGAAGATGCTAAGGATTCAGTTTTTGGATTTTGAGAGTCTCACTGCTGCTGGCAAAATGCTTGCTCAGACACAGTATATGTCCTCACGATGTCCTTTCCAGGCTTTACTCCGAAAACTGTTGAGCATTTTCTCTTTTAGCTTCAATGGAAGATGGATCATGCTACTGAAATGCTGTACTAGGAGCTGCTGGAAATTCATACCGGACTCCTTCCCATCAACTTACTAGACTAGTAAAAGGGTGTGGAATAGTGAAATCAGAGAGATGGCACAAAACTTTTAATTCCATATAAGCCCTCTTCTTAAGAAGACAATGTGGTGGCTCAAAGGAACTAGAAAAATATTACATTTCACAGAAGTGGTTTCTCCCTGAATTGCATCTTCTCTGAGCAGCATGATTAACAGTGATGCTGCACACAGCACAAAACATGAGGGGTCTGTCTTGTGACTTTACAGCCCTGTTGGGCCTTATCAGCATGTGGGTATTAAGGCAACTGGAAAGGATCCATGGTGTCTCAGAGGCCTGGAATGTATCTTTCTATTGCAATGCACATTTTAGCCAATGTACTCCACTTGGCTGCCTCTTAGTCTCAGTTCCTCTCCTCAGTTCTCCATAGACAAAAAAAAAGTTTAGCACCATCCCAGACCATGGGAAAACACTTTCAGGACACAAATCTATATATATTTTTCTGTCATGTCTATTTCAAGACATCTCTCTGTACAGACAACTGTCCACAAAGAAAGTGCATCTTTACAGACTTAGTACACCGTAATATTTTTAAATGGAGCATAAAGAGATTACAAATTTATTAAAAGGTCCAGCCCTATGAAATCTCACTGCAAAGACAGAAATTTACATAACAATTCTCAATGATAATTAAAAAGATTCCCACCTCAGGTACCATTACAAGTCCAAAGGTCAGTCCAAAGAGAATCATGTTTATTCCATACATCCAGCGCAAGAATATGAAATAAGATGCCACTGATGAGCCAAAATGACCTATGAAAACATGAGATGTGAAAAAAGGCCAGATAAGTTAGTCCTCTTATGCTGTTTTACCTTAAGATGAAGTTGCTCAAAGTTTATTTAAAATAAATAAAATTGTGGGAGGCTTTTCATTTTCTTTATTACCATAATGTTAATAACTTTTTTCCAGATTGCATACTAACATTCACCAACCTGGCAGAGAAAACAGAAACAAACAAATATAGAAGTATTATTCATACAGGGTGTTTAGGGTCACATAAAAGCTGTTATATTTACTAATAAATCCTCTAGCAGCAGGATTCAAAGCAAATCACACTTTTATTTTTGTTTTTTGTCTGATGTGGATTGTAAGCATTCTTGACATGTTAAGCCAGCACCAGCCCAGTTTTATAGGAAGCAGCACAGAATTAGCCAGTGGGGATAGACTTTTCAAGAGCACAAGGTACTTGTAAGTGCTGTTATAGGAGTGCTCACCCAAGTCGTTCACCAGGGAAGAACAAAAAGATCTGGAAGTGTTTTCACCCTTTCTTTCCCTTACTATGCTACCTATGTGTTCCACCTGCACCCAGGTGTGGAGGCAGTCCCATCACCAGGTGCACAGATGATACCTTGGACTCCACCCACTCTAAACCCCTGACCCAGACCTGTGTGAAGAAGAAGAGACTGCAGGGGAATCAGTGAGCACTAATTTGATCAATCATTAACCTGATTTGACCAAAACTCTGCAAGTCAGGCCAAACAGAAATAACAGTTTAAATGATGCTTGGTGCAGAACCACTCTGCTGAATACAGGACAGCTGGCAGTTGTGTTCACCTGTCTGTCAGAGCTAGCAAAATACCAGATCTCAGTTCTGTTACCAGTGCTTCGAAGAAATAAAAGTGACCTTTCAACAGGTTTCTTCACACACAGTCTACTTAAGGAGCCTGATGCACTCTGATGGCAAGTAAGTCCCCTCTGTTCAGAGGAGTTTGCATCAGTATTTCCAAACTGTTTTGCAAGCCTTGTAACAGATTCTTCCATTCTGTAAAATGAGGTTAACATGGGTGGTGCTATTTGGAGCATATATATGCACATTTTACTATAACAACAAAATCAGTAGAAAATTTAATACACTTAGACTGGTATAACACCAGAGTATAAACACAGACTGACCAGTAAGAGGCATTTATTGAGGCTGTGCAGGGGAGGGACAAGTCATTCTGTCAAGGATTTCAGCATTTCAAAATCTGCTTTATTCACAGTTCAGAATGAAACCACAGTTTTAAAATTTTGCATGAAGTAGCTGCCAATTTAGCAGTGATGTAGATACTGGGAAGTCTGGGTAGAGGCGTAAAGCAAGAGACTTTGAGTTAGTCAGTCTGGTTGTGATATGCCAATTACCCAATTACTACCCAACTATGACTTTGGGGATGCTACGGACTCAAACAAATGAAGTGCAGGAAACTAGGAAGATTCCTGATTCCAAGAATTTTGGTACTATAGACTTCTCCATGATGTATAAGTTCTTTTGCTTGAATCCTAATATCCCCATTCTTTTTGGGAATGGCTTCTTTACATACATTTAGTTATAGTTCTTGTGTCAGTTATACTGATGAAATCACTGCCATGCATCCATCTGTAACATCCGCATTGACACTGCACTGGAATTACGTGCATCATTATAGTTATTGCAAGTAACAATGCACAGACTGTTCATGGATTTTCACCAACGAAGCAAGAACAGAAACCTCTGATGACTGATAAGCTTAGCTGGGGATGAGAATAATTTAGCTATGGATGCCCTTAACTACATTTCCAGAATGCGTAGGTCCAAACAGGGGGCAACAGGGAACATGAAAAATGGTACCAATAGCCTGCACCATCTATGAACAAAACCAGTCCAAGTTTCACCAGTGTTTTAAATCCACTCTGGGGTGCAGCATGCTCCAGGTATGAATGAAAAAGTAATACTTTAAAGTAGACTTTAGCCATCTTTTCCCACATCCACAGCTTCACCATACCATGCATTGGCATGCATAGTGGCATGTATAGCATAAATAGTGGAATGAAGATGCTCATCCTGTCCCAGCAGAGAAATGTGTGTTTCCCATAAAGTCCTTATGTACAGATATTACTGAATGTCTGTTCTGTAAGGAAAAGAAGCACCTCTTTTCTAAATAGAAATACTTCATATACTTACCAACTTCTCTCTTAAACATCAAAACCCCAATAGCAGATTCACCTATTTCCAACACAAGGATGCAGCACAGCAAAGCTTGATGCCTCTTATTCTGAAGCTGGGCTCCCTGTGCTAGAAAGGACTGTCATCTTGAAGCAGGAAGCCTACCTGAGATAGCCCAGAACTTCATGCTGATAGCTAGGTTTTCTAGATAGCTGGCAACCTGGAAGAGTCAGACCCAACTGAAGAGGGCTGTGATAAGAAGGGCTATATTTGTTATAGTGGGGACCATTATAAAATAAGGCAGAAGTTAAAGTTGAGGTTTCTTGCTAGGGCTTTAATGTAGTTAGTACTTTCTTTCTCCTTTTCATTACTCTATTTCTTTATTTTTTTAATTTTTTATTATTAGATTACATTGTTGATTATAATTATCACAGAAAGGAAAATACTTTCAGGGGTTTTAGTATCTAAACATTAACATAACCCTTGCTACTGATCCATAGGCCCATGGAAACAATCCCTGTATAAAGTTTAAATGTGTGGCTAATACAAGTTTGTAGTTTAAGACACAGTATGAGAGTTTACATCAGGGCTGTGTCTTCTCATGCCAATATTAATAGTGAATTAATAATGATTGATAGTCAATAATATTTATTTATTTTTCCTATATTCTTCTGTAGCACCTCTAAGGCCCAGTAGTGAGACCGTTGAATTATCTAACTTGATATAGTCAAGGTGGTTCTTGGGTATCTACAAGTGGCCTTGAAATAAAACCAGAATTGTTTCTTCAAAGCAGAGGCAAACGGTCAGATTTACCTATAATATTAGTTGATCTTCTTCTTAGATTAGTCTGACACACCCTAAAGAAGCCCTTTTTTTATCAACAGTCTCTTCCTGAAGTCTGTTTAAATTTCCCCATCAAGCTGAAACTACATTAACAAAAAAAAGCTTGATAAAATTGTGTCTTGCACCTTGTGAGTTCCCAGGCCTACCAACACAACTCCAGATAGATAGAGAGAGTTTGCTCAGTGTGAAGCATTTTCTTCCCAGGTCTTTCTAGTGTATAAGTAATGGCACAAGGAACTTTTCAGTTCAGCAGCACTGCCAGGCACATGTGTGCCACTTACCCAAGTTCAACACATTCTTCATTTGACCTCTTTTTTTCCCAAAGCTATACTATTTCTATTGACTTTATGTGAATTTAGCAGTTCTGTTGTTCTCAGAAAGTGTGTTTATTTCAATATTGTTTTTCCTATTAAGTTTCCTGCATCAGTTGGCAGTGGTAGGGTGGCACAGCTACCTATTCTCTTCAGTTTACATGACAGAAAACTTTCTATGTCATCTAATATTGTTTTACCAGTACAGTTTTTCTTTTTAAGTCAAGGAAATCTTCCCCAGTAGTACCTAATTGATCTTTTGTCACTATACAGAACCATAATTCACTTTTCATTTGCAATCTGTCTATAATCCTGGCCACATTTGAGAATGGACCGTCACCCAACAATGCTACAGTATAATCATCAGTTTTTTGAAAAAAGAGCCTCTATTACATGTTAACTCCTGAACTGCATCACAAATAAGACTAATCGTTGCTATTTTATCAACGTATGGCTTGATCTCCTTTGCTTTGTTGATCCTCTAGATTTCAAAGTAGATATCATGATAGTTCTGCACTAACACTAATTTATAGAGCAAAGATTGTTAGTGATCTGACACTGTTTTCTTTTGGACAAGTCATGTTCCGTTGTTCAGGTGCAGTTTTTTAGAAGGACCGAAGAACAAACATTAGTGTTTCTCAGTGGTTAGAAAATTATATTTACTTCTCCCATTTTCTATTGTGAACAGTTATTGCCTTGTTCGTTTGGGATTGTTTTATAAAGAGTTCACTTGGAGATCAGAAAATGCAAATTATCTTAATGTAAGAGCACAGAGATGACTGAGAAGTTACTGGTTGGAAGCTAACGTTTGCTGAGCATAAACTATTTCCTCACACAAAGGTATTTAGCCAAAATGAATAGTTTCCCTTTACAGAGTAGTCTGCACATAAGTGTGAGGCTTTTGTTCCATTCATGCTTCTGCTGCTTACACTTTCTTTTAGCTGTGGTCATGCAAGATTCAAAGAGAACTTGAAATTTCATAAATTCTTGCCTCTCTTTTAGGTGCTATTGACATGACCTCTTGTACCCTGTTAATACTTACATTTCTGTGCTTAGTGCCTGCCTTTGGAAAGAAACTAGCTTACAGCATAATATTAGCAGTGATCATGGAGGATGCATGTGTGCTGGTGGAAAATTTATCACAAAAGAAACACGAGTTTAAAAAATATTAAAGTGTGTAGTGACATGGAAAGCAGTTGTACAGACTCAGCTCTGTAGTGGAGAACTGAACCAGCACATTTTGCATCATCAGATTTCCAAAAGTGGTCCAAACAGCCCACTTTACCTGTCACAACCTGATGTCATTTGCTGCTTGTTTCACTGTACTCTATCCTCCAAAAATGAGCTGCCATGTAAAGAGTGTTCTCGCTGATTTCCTTTATAAAACCATATTTTTGCCACATGAGACTGCAGGCCATGGGAACTAACATGACTAAGGACTCACCACAAACAATACTATCCCAGAAAGTATCTTTTTAAGTATTAATCCTGGTGTCCAAGTCTAGTGTTCAACCATTTTCTTCAACCACTCCTGAGTATTTTGAGTGGTCTGAAAGATCCAGTCATTATATGCAAGGTGTTGCCTGTGCCAACAAGATTCTCTAAAGTGTTTAATGTGCTGCTTTTAGCAAGTCTTATGTAAAGTCTTAAGCAACCAAAGATATTTTTCTGCCAAATTCTTTAAAAGCAGTACCAAGCACATCCTGATCATCATCTGATGTCATGTGTTTAAGTCAGGAGTGTTACTGTCATTTTACAAGGGGCTGAACTGGCCTCCAAAAGTCAAAGCCATTGGTGCTAGGAGTCAAAGGAGAATCAGGTCTTTGCTGTTTGGAGACATCTGGAAACATGCCTCCCCTTGCACAGTTGTTTCTGCTGCTTCTTTAGCACAACTGCACGTCTGAAGACAGCAATTGTTAAGAACATTTCATTCCCTGGAGTTCATACATACAAGCTCGAAGCTGACTGTGTTGGAAAGGTGGCTGCTCCTCCAGTATGTTCTGGAGATTTTGATCAGGGTTTGATATTAAAAAAAAATGTTTTACTAATGAACTCATACCAACTCTGCTAACTTGAAATTTGGATAATGCAGGGTAATCCTTGACTCAGCACCAACAGTTTGTTAAATGCCAAGAAACAGAGGACCTTCCCCTTCTACTAAACTTGATACAATATTACCAATGTGGTACACGTTCCATTTACATATAAATTAGGATGACAATTAGGTTTCTAGAAAAAGTTAAAGCAGCAGGTTTTTGGTCTATGTGACTCAATGTTTCTAATCTCTACTCTTACCTTACACAGAGACCAGCTTTTTTCCATGTCAGTTTCCCTCAGTCCTCCTTTTCTAACCCCCCCCCCCCTTTTTTTTTCCTGGGACTTTACAGCTTTATCAGTGTCATCATTAAGATGACTTTGATCTAAGTACTACAAATTCACTAATAGGAGGTACACATGGAGAGCTACTGCTTGGATTAACCAGAATCAAATAAATTGTGACTTAAAATTCTTTTCCTTGGCAATATTTCAGAGTTGTTCCCTTGAAATCAAGCCTTATTCTAGACAATAAAGTTTTGGACCAAACTGTGGTTAACTGTACTTCTTAAATTACCAATATTCAGACAGAGGATTGTTTCTGCAAGTAAAAGCAATTGCAGCTTGCCTTAGCAATATGCTGAACAGAAAAAAAAAATTAATAGAAAAAGAGTAAACTTCACAATATTACCCCTTGAGATTACGAAAAGGTACTATCCCACTGTGATTTTGGGACCTTCCAGGTGACAGCAAAAATGTTACTCATTTCAAATGAAAAAATAAATAGATAAAGAAAGCAGGACTGGAGAAATGGCCCTGTTCTATTTTTACATTCTGATTTTACAAGAAATGTGTCTGTTGGAAGTTATTACTAGCAGAACAGCTTGTGTCAGGACTACTCCTCTACAGATAGTTGTAGATACTTGTCACTCTCACAGATCCTCAAGATGTCTGTGTCCAGACCAGTAAGAGACCATGTGCATTTTGCTGCTAAGTTTGATTTTAACTAGACATATGCAGCAGCTTCTTTCTAAACTCCACCTCAAGTGAATAGATAATCTGTTCAGCAGTCTGTAGACCATATGTTTAAGGACATTATATAAATTCTCCTCAAGGGTTATTTTGCAGTCCAGAACTCCAGAAAATTTACAAGTTATCATTTTTGTGTTCTTCCACTGTTCTGGTTATTGCCTTTTGATACAACCCATGGCTTCTTCCAGAGGCAGCTTCTCTAAAATCAGTTTCTATTGCATTTTCATCTGCCTTTCATGAGTGACAGGGCCTCACTCGGGTACCCAGTTAAGCCAAATTTCCTTCGAAGAGAGGGATGCAGTTTAAATTCATCACTGGAACTGAAACATAAAGCTGATTTGTCCCAAAAACCTACTCTCAAACATACCTGTAGTACTAACTACACTGGGTTTTTTATATTTATGCCTAATATATGGGGACATCTAAGACCATTATAGTTTTCTCTGTGTTGTATTATATGACTGAAAATGAGAGAAATAATGCCAAAATGCCTCTTACTTAAGGCTCAATATGATGAAAAAACATCACAGAAATTATTTTAGTATAAATACAGACAAAATAAACTTAAGGTGGGCAGTAGCTAAATCCCAATTCCACTTTTCCAGGATTAAATTCAACACTGGCTCCTGAACTGTCACCTGTATATTGAAGATTTTTATCTGTAACGTGACTAACACTTTCTCAAGGAAATTTTCAACTAGCTACTATGTTAAGCTCAATAAATATTAATGAAAAATACTCACTGATTTTATACTACACATTGAACACAGACATGTATTTCTAAAGTATTGAAAAGTAATTTGCCATTTTGACATGCATCAGGAATATGATACTAGATACTATTTTTTATTACCTTCCATAAGTACTTACTTTCAATCTCTTTAATTTTCATTTCCCATGGTATGCAGGCTGTCTTAAAATTCTCAAAATCTCTCTGAAATTTCATCCATTTCTGAAAAGGGTCACAGATTAAAAAAAACCACCATCATCTCAGTGCCCAGATCCTCAATTTCCTCTTGACTTAATGTAACATCTTAATCATCCACAGCATCCTTTAGCAGAGCCCATCACAATGAAGTACTATCTTATGAAGGTCCATCTCCTTTTGTTTGTTCTGAATATGTCTCCTACTGGCTTTGTACAAAAAGTCCCTATTTCTTCCACAAGAGGAATGATTAAGTAATCGCTTCCTTTCATGCCATTATTTTTTTTTTAGAATTGTTTCTGAGAATTTAATTTGTTGTTTCTTTTGCTATTCAAAATTCAGATCTGGAGCTCAAGCTGTGTCATTTAATTACAATTACTCTACCCTGTACTTTTTCTATTGGATAAACATAAGTGCTCTAATTGAGCTTCCTGTGCTCAGCTGTGTTTGAAACCCTAATTATTTTTTGTGCACATTAACGCTTACAAGATGTGACTACACAACTGCTTGCAGAAAATCTGGTCTAACTGAGGGTAAACTTGGCCAGAGCAAGTAGTACTGCCAAATATTCTTAGCATCATTCTTCATCAGCATTTTAGTTCAGGGCAAGTGTGCTTTTCAAGGGAATCTCCCAAACCATCCCTATTTAACCACACTTACATCTGCACTGTAAAGCAGTGCCAGAGCATAACATTAAGTCAAAAGATGTACTTGAGGAGTCTACCTGAGGAGCGTGATAATCCACATCCACCGCTACTGGGTATTTAGTCCTTGGACTACACAGGACTTAGCCCAAAGACCTGCCAGAATGCATATTGTGTAGACATTGGGTCCTCAACAACCACTGAAAGACCTTTCAGCCACAATCTTACAGCACCATGTTGCTTCCTAGGATATACATGGCCCTAGAACCTTGGCTCAGTGAGAGGCCTCCAGTATTTTTGCTGTGCAAAAAGACACTTTTTGATCCTTCATAGGGGGCTGTCTCAAGGGAAAGACTGAGCTTGGGATTCAGTCCACAGAAAAATGCAATCTACACCAAGATGAATTAACTTTCACAAGATATTAAACTCTTGCAAACTCTTGCGAAACAGTTGATTTTTGTCTTGATGACAAGTCTCAGTCAAACTGTGAGCTTGCATTAGAAATCTTTTCATGCAAGAGCAGTGGAAATAAAAGTATTAAAATGCAATGAAAGACAAGGAACTCTATTTTGGAAGATGGATAGGCATGGCAATAATCTCCAAAAGGCTCCCCATTTGCATTACATGAAGTCAGTAAAATAATAAATTTACCTTGGTCATCATCACTTTGTATGCATAGAATTTTTTTCCTTTTCCTTTTCCAAGAGCACCTTCAAACTTTTCCACAAAAAGCTGGGCTTCCCTGGAAAATGAGGGCAAAAGAGATATAGATGATGCTATAGTAAACATGATATTGTCTCTACCATAGCAATGTAATTTTTTGTGTGTTCTAACTCCTCATAGAGTTTTGTATAATCTTGTTCCCTTAGTAATGTTTAGAAAGAAAACCTCTGAGGTTTTGTATTTCACGGAAGATTAATCATATGTAGTGCAAACAGAACAAGCAACTTCAGTCATCTGCTCTAATCCAAATGCATTTGGAGCTCTGAGATCTGCTTGTATCCAGTTAATGTTATAAAATATTTTTAGTTACAGTGACTTTCTTTTGCAGTTCTGCTGCTGCCTGTTTGTGCCACTTACGAACTGTTATTCCTCCTGGTTCCAAATATAAATTGTTGTCCAGCTACCTAAGGGAAATTTATTTTCATTTTTTATTTTGGAGATATGTATACACTAGAGCCTGGTTCCCCTGTGTCTACCCTTCTCAAGACTAGATTTAATTCAGCTCTTCAGAATTTCTGCATATATCACCTCTAACTGTACCATTCTCAGAATCATATCTTAGAAGTTTCGCTTCAGTGGTCCCCAAAAGACTAAAATTTTGCTTATGAAGACATGAAATGTAAATAGTACCCTGGTGATACAAGTATGAAAGGAAGATTTTTAAATTGTTTTTAAAAGTCATAATGTCTATGGATTAAAACAATAAACAGATGAGATCAAGAGCATACTAATATTTCTTCCATTAGGTATGACTTTCACGTGTGCATTTATTGGGAAAATTTGCCCTAAAGGCTAAATGTCCTGAGCTAAAACACTGGAAAACAGAATAAGAAATCTTAGCTGTCAGTGTATGCACAAGATTATAACTATTTCATCATTGTACTAGATGATTGCAAAGCATTGTATATTGTATTACTCTAAACACTTGGGAAAAGGTAGGCCGTTGGGAAAATGTTAATTGTGTCGCATATCTGTCCAGAAGTGCTACAGATAAGTTCACTGAGTGAAATCAACTATCATGCTTATATCTTCTACTAGCATATTTTATGTAAGCAAGCAAAAGTATTGTGTCAAACTGCAAAATCTGACAGCAGCATTGGCAGAATAGTGGTGTAGCTGTGATAAAGGAGAATTGAAATTATGTGTGAAGAAGGCTACTAGCTGCATCATAACTTCTCTTAACTCATGGTTAAAAATCTCAACATCTTTAAAAATACTGTGTATTTTTAGTAAATGCAAATACTTAGGGTGATCTTTGTACTATCATTTGAAGTGTTGTGGTTTAGTAGTAGCCAGCAGCTAAGCACCATGCAGCCACTCACTCCTCTTCCCCTGGTGGGATGGGGAGGAGAATTGGAAGAAAAAGGTAAATCGTGTGGGTTGGGATAGGGGCAGTTTACTAGGATAACAAAGAAAAATGAAAATAACAACAGTGTTTAGAACATACAAAGCAGCTGATCCAATTTGCTTACCCGCCAGAGCCCGACGCCCATTCCATCCCAAAGCAATGGCCCCTCCTCTCGAGCCAGCCCCCTTTGTATACCGGGCATGACATCATATAGTATGGAATACTCCTTTGGCTAGTTCAGATCAGCTATCCTGGTTGTGTCCCCTCCCAGCTTCTTGTGAAAATTAACTCTATCCCAGCCAAAAAACAGGACACTTATCAAAACTTTTCCCCACTATTCACCCACTGTACCAGTCTCTTTAGCTTGCAGTACCAAGGCTCCGAACAGCCTTTTGTTTCTACACTGCCCAAGATGGTGCAACATTGAGCTACTGAATTTAGTTTTCAGTCTTTGAGAACTTTCCCTCTTCAAGAGCCCTCTGAGCGCTCTCACATTCCAAGTGCGCACACCTAAACCCAGCTGGTGAGGCATCAGGACCAGTGCCCGTTCACCTGACCTCCCCAGGAGCTGAGCATGCCTTTTCCCAACATCTGAGATCCTGTTTTCTCCTTCAAAGACACAGGTTGGCCGAACCAAAAAGCTACACACAATGACATGAATCTCAATTCAATCATTCTTTTTTTTCCTTTTCCCTGTGGCACAAGGCATGCACAGATTCAGATAAAAAAGATAAAATACCCACCACCACCCCAGCCACACATCCCACCTATTCACCATTTCAAAGTGTTCCTCAGGGATTGAGTCAGTGTCTTTTTAAGGCTCTAGATCCCTTATTCTCAATTCTGTGCTTCTAGATCACATTTGTATTCTGGATTCTGGAGTCTGATCTTTCTGTACTTTAGCTAACTTTGACATTGACTGGGCCTTCTTTATTTTCCAAGTCACTTTGAGTCCTTCAGAGATTTTCTGGCTCAGCACTCACTCACATCTCATACCTTCATTTTGATTCTCAAAAAAATTCTACTCTTAAATTTCATACTCTCAAATAAGTCAGAGAAAACAGATTCTTTCAGCTTCAGGAATCCAGTGCCCAAGAGGCCCTTTTAAATATGTGTCCTCAGGTTTTAAAATCTTGTTGCACTGTCAGGATGTAGAAGGCAGTCCTAACAGCAGATGGCAGCTTCCTCATAAACTCAACAGTCAGTGCTGGAGAAGTACCATACAAGCAGAGAGAATCAATAAACTGGACATGTACCAATCTCCCAAAGCAGCATTCTGGACTTAAGAGGAAAACCTTCTACCACCACTTCTATCATTACATAATTTAAGCATTGGAGCTTGTTAATGAGAAACTACTGAAATCAAAACCTGCAGACCTGTAGAAAATCTGTGCTTTCAGTCACTAATTATGTGCAGTTATGCTACAGAATATGAAGATTCAAATTGTAAGTTGTCTTTTTTTACAGTGAAGCAACTAGTTAGAAATCTAAGGGGATAATATGAAAACATTAACACATAAAAAATCCTCCATAGCAGATACAAACATTTTGCATCTGTAGCTGAACACAAAAGTTCTCCACGAACATGTTCTGCTATAAAATCAAGCTAACCAAAACAAGAAGGAACTTTCCACAATGAAAGTCATAAAAATGTTTATTTTAAAGTCTTAATCCAAGCCTTCTGTTCACTTGCTTGAAATGTCTTTTTATAAGGTTTACTGTAAAAAATTAGTATTTCTTATCCCTGTCTGCCTCCAGGACTCTCCATCAAGCAGTCTTTCAGGTTAGAGCATTAGCAGTATTTAGATAAACCAAAACACTGATTTTTGAAGGTGGTGATCCAGATCTCCAGGTTTAATGCTGATGACTGTCCTGAATACTTCCATGGATTTTACTTTGCCAGTGGCTGAGGTTTACTTTTTCCTTGCATCTCTTCTTCCCCAACACTGACCTGCTCCAGTGTACACTGGTTACAGAACTGTGATCAACTGCCCCTAAATGTTACTGCTTTATAATCTGTTTTTCTCAGATTTTCACTCCTTTGGCCTGCATTGGACCAAGTTCATCATTGCAGCACAAACAAACCAGATGATGAACTGATACCAGTTAAACTTCTTATTGGGTAGTTACGCATGCAGTCAACTGAGTTACACATGCAAGACTGGAGCATAAAACCAGTTGGACCCATGCACGCATAATATTTGTGAAGCTACTTCACATTTCACCTTGAATACTGTGTTCAGTTTTGGGCCCCTCACGACAAGAAGGACACTGAGGTGCTGGAGCGTGTCCAGAGAAGGGCAGATTAATAAATCAGGTCTTAATGTATGTCCCTTGCCTTTTATATATCCAGTCAAATAGCCAGTGTGGCTAATAAATGAAAGTGAGGTGTGGAAGCGTATCCAGAGAAAAGCAGCGAAGCTGGTGAAGGGACTGGAGCACAAGTCTTATGAGGAGCGGCTGAGGGAACTGCGGTTGTTTAGCCTGGAGAAAAGGAGGCTGAGGGGAGACCTTCTCACTCGCTACAACTACCTGAAAGGAGGTTGTAGCCCGGTGGGTGTTGGTCTCTTCTCCCAAGTAACAAGTGATAGGACAAGAAGAAATGGTCTCAAGTTGTGCTGGGGAAGGTTTAGGTTGGATATCAGGAAAAATTTCTTCACCAAAAGGGTTGTCAAGTACTGGAACAGGCTGCCCAGGCAAGTGCTTGAGTCTCCATCCCTGGAGGTATTTAGAAGATGGGTAGATGTGGTGCTTAGAGACATGGTTTAGTGGTGGATTTGGCAGTGTTAGTTTATGGTTGAAGTCGGTGATCTAAAGGATCCTTTCCAACCTAAATGATTCTACGATTCTGTGATTATTATGCAACTGAAAGAAATGAGATTTTAAAAAAAAATTATTTTGTGAAAGAAAAGAATGAAAATCTTCTTTCATTTCTGGAATAAATGAAATCAAGTTACCTTCGATGTTCTACAAGGACGTCTTACATTTTGGTATGTGGTGGATTTTACCAATAACATTCTAAATAGCATTTGCATACCACTCATTTAGAGAGACTATGTCTTATAAGGGAATCCCACCACATGGAAATATAATTGCCCCATAGCAGGCTACCTGTTAGCTGTATCCATGAATATTTGCATGACTTACGAATCTTATTTAATTGGTAGTTAAATGAAAATCTCAATACCAACTTGATTCTATGAAAAATTCCTGCAAGAGTTTTAATGAAATATCTGAAGAACGAATTCAGAGCAGAAGCAGGGCTTGAAAGAGACCTTATGGGTAATGAGGTAGAAACACGTATGCAGATATGTGCAAGGAAGTAATACAGAAACCATAACTACCAGATGATACTGGAGCCATCAAACAGAACATATTTTCCTTCTTCCCCTCAGCTTTTCTTCCCTCATCAGCTCTGTCACAGGTTAGTCCCAGTGGGTTACTCCTGACCTCTGTGATTTGTAGGTTGAGACCTTTCCCTGACTTCTATTTAAACTTCTTGGCTTTAAAAGTTCAGCAACGACTTGGCACCATTAAGTCAGGGCATAGGCTTGCAATGGCCTTTCTATGTCTGTGACACATGCTCTTTCTTGTTAAATATAATCCAATATGTTACTTAATTCAGGTTTCTACCTTGATGTCTAAACTATCTTACTGAAAGACCTCTATTTGTACATCCCTGCAGACTTTTGCCACACTTTATCCTTTCCTCTATTTCTTCTATGCTAATAATAAAATGTGAGGACAGAAAGGATGATCAAGCAATAAAAAGTAGTCCCAAACCCATAGAACTCTTTTAGAAACCACGACAAGAGCCAAAACCACATACATATATATGCATGCCTACTTGGAAGTAATGCAACCTCACTAACATGAGGATGTGTCAAAAACAACGCAGAGCAACAAAACTGATCTTTGTAATCACTGGTATCATGTGTTATATGTAAATTATCTATATCACAAGATAGGCCAAAGTGTGCCCTGTTAGCTAACTGTGAATTTAAAGAAGCTTCAGAGAAACCTTATTAATTGAATTACAGATACAAGAAACTAATAAATGTTGTATGGGGCTGGGCATTATTGTCCCAGAGGAGACTGAGTTAATTATTAAGACTAGGTGTGGAGTTACAGGTTCCAAAGTACTTGGTGTACAATACTTCGGGAACTTCAGTGTGGTAGAGAGAGGATGAATTACAGCTCTCAGAGGTTGCTGTTAGTGAGTAGGATTCAAGTGGATTGCTCACATTTTTCAGAAATTTTTCACAGTTCAGAAAGTTTTCAGTCTCCAAGATCTAAAAATTTATTAAAAAGAAATGTCACGTTAATATTGGACTTCTCCAAGTCTTAAAATATTGGCTAAAAAATGACCGCAAAACAACTGTTGTCATGCACAGGTCACTTGAAAAGCAGTTCAGCAGTAATAATGGGCAAATTATAGTGTTATTTAATACCCAGTTGACCTTGAGGACATCCAGGCTGGCCTCCAGGACTGCCAGTATGTTCACAGTAAGGGAGATGAAATACTGATTCACTGAAGTACAAAGAACACATTCAAAGATGAGAAATTTCCACCATCCCACACATGCACCTTATGTATCTTTGGGTTTTGTGTAGTTGTAAAATATTCTCTTTCCAATTCATCTGTCTTGATGGGTAATCTAAGTCCTACAATAAATTAAATGATGTTAAAAAATACTGAAAAATTGCCACATTATATTTTGTCCCTGGCAGATGAAGACGACACTGCTCTGCTCTGCTCTGTTTTTCTTAGAAAAAAACAAGAAGTTCTCATGGCTCTCTTTATGGCCTGTATTTAACTGGAAGTCCTTTAAAAAGCTTAAGCTTGACAATTCAGTGCCTTTTTTTTTTTTTT